GTTTCTTTTAGGTACCCCCTCATACCATGCAGTAATGAATGCTCATGTGTAAGATGAGAGTAATGCTGCCTGTGACGCTTAAGGTCAAGTGTTAACTTGAATAGTTTTGGCCGCTATGTAATGATACAACTAGTTATACAGTGCTGTCATTTGTCAGTTATGTAACAATGTAACTAGTTATAAGTGATGTGATTTGGCAGTTATGTAGTGATGTAGGCTTATGTGGTTATTCCCCATAGTCACACAATGACTTAGTCTTTGGAACCTAACCATATCAATAAGGTGGGCCAGCTAGCCCTTCTTCATGTTGAAAGAATTGTAATGGTTAGCCCAGAGAAGAACACTGGAAGGAACTCTCTTCAAAATACAAATTATTTTTATGGAAGAGGGAGCTTCCCCTCCTTTTTTGAGGCCCTAAAAGAGGCAGGACCAGGTGCAATTGGTGGAAGAATTCCCAGGAGTGACTATCAATCGAATGGATTGCCTCACCGGACAGTGCGTGGATGCCCTGTTCAGGGAGATGTATAGGTATTAGATGAAGGTTCTTTCCCACTTGAAAGCCTCCTATGCTGAGTACAGGCAGCCCCCCTTTTACAAACATCAGACATATGAACAAGCTATAGTTAGGAACTAACCCGTAAAGCCAATGTTAGAAAACAAACTTGAGGTACTTGAAGTGGTGTCTAATAACAAATAGGTGCTGCTTTGTGGTGTGTGTCGAAAGATGATTATTTTTATGTATGGCTGTTATAGTGTGTCTGGAAGGCTTTCTTTAATATTCTGTGTGCATTGAAAGGTATAATAGTACTAGATATGAAGACAAATATTTGACCAACATTGTTGAACCATGCTGAACTTTTTCAAATTCTGTACAAATTCAACTTGAAGGAAGACTTAGGAATACAACATGTTTGTGATTCAAGGACCGCCTGTAGTGATTTTGACTTTCTGGTGCCCACTCTATACTCAAAATAAATGTGACTTTGTTTTTCTGCTTCTTTTTCTTGAATGACACCCCCCCCCCCAGCCCTAGGAGTAAATAAAGCCGGTGGATCTGGTGTTATGTAATCTCATCCTGCTTTAATCCTATGCATCATTCTTCTTTGCAGTGACTTTAGAATGACCCAAAATATCTCTTACTTGTAACCGAACCCATTGCCAATGAGTTGATTCCTTCATAGTAGCCCTGTAGGCCAGAGCGGTAATACTGTGTCCCTATGATTTCCAAAACTATTATTATCTTTAAGGAAGCAAACCGCCATGTCTTGCTTCTGTGGAATAGCTAGTTGGTTCACACTAATGACCTTTTGGTGAGCAGCCAAGTGCTCCTCAGCATCATATGGGGCTCCTTAAATGCTTCTTGGACAAATAACTAAGCTAGATTCCCTTCCTCATTATGTAATAGTTTAATTTCTTAGGACACTTTGGAAGTGCCTCCTTAAGATGTTGTGCTTGATCAGGTAAAGCCAGAGAACTTTCTGGATTAGAGTTGAGAAGCCTGTGTTAAAAAGGACATTGAAGTAGGTGAGGCTAGCCTCTCCCTCAAACACAAATCCTTCTTTAATCCAGTGAGAACCAACAGTGCTTGTTGTAAAGATGTGCCGTGGATTGAGAGAATTTTTGCACTCTGTTGGCTAATGTTTTCGCCAGCAAATAAAATCAGTCATTTTATGGAGTTGCTGGTTCATCTTCCTGATAGGTCATCTGCAAATAATACTTACAGGATAAGTTTTTTAAAAAATTTGTTTTCTAAAGAGACATCAAAGCTCCTTATTTTGTATTAACAGAATTCCAAGTAGATGGCTTAAAAAAAAAATCTGTTAGCCCCTCCTCCCAGAAGAATGGACTTGAGAGGACTGCACTGAAGCTGCAGCTAGGGGAGAGGGGCATGTCTGATCAGAGCAAATGGGAGCACTTAGGGGGAGGAAGAGAGAGTGGAGCACATCCTGACCCACCAGGCCTGGAGGATGACATCCCTGCTCTGAACAGCCAATGGACAGAGTGGACAATATGGCTGATCCCACCACGAGACA